TAAATATAACATTTAATTAAGTACTAGTATAATTATTTGTAATTTTATTGAAAAATTATTAAATAATTAAAATTAAATACATCAATCAAATTTTGAGCAAGCCATACTTTCACAACTTTATAGTGTTATTAATGAAACAAAAAAGTTAGTCAATCACAATTTTTTATCATTAGTAAATCTCATATATGTTTTTGGTTTTGATAATATATCAATAGTTTATTTTAAATGTTTTATTTTTGATATGGATATATCATTATTAATATAGTATATTATAGTAAAAGTTTTATATAAACATTAAATCACACATGGTTATTTAAAAATGCTGTTGAAATAATTGAAATTCTTTTAAAAATATTTATACTTACCTTTTGGTTAACATGGAAAATTTAAATAATTTTCAAAAATTTAATAATGTCATTTTATTAAATCTAGTATTACTGAAAGTAATTAAATTATCAGAATAAGTATAAAATATTTAGGTTATTATACAATACATAACTTAATTAAAAGGAACACTCTAGTTTTAGAAGTTTAGTAGCTTTATATTATTTTATTATTAAAATTATTTAATTAAATTTCTTGTTATTGATTGTTATAATAGAGAAATTATCAAAAGTGGGATAATTAACTTTTTTTATTCTTTATCACATCAATTAAAATTCATTTTCTTTTACCTCTAAATTTATTCTATGCTCAAAATTAAAATAAAATAACATCTTAATATGGTGGGTGATATATGTTATTATTTATGTTACTTTGAGTTTTTTATAATAAAATATTTTAGAATGTTTATTATATAAATTGAATTTGGTGGATACAGCAATTGAATAATCGAATCTTTTGTACAAAAATCAATAAAAAAATAAGCTGCCTGAATTCATAAGGTTGATCACCTGAAAATTTCTGATTTTGTGCCTTGACAATCATATACTTTTAACCCTTTCTACATCAAGAATTGAGTACTGGTTTGCAGGCAAGCTCAAATACTCTGCTGAAACAGTAAAAAAAACTTAAAATTTCTGAAATTTAGCCCCTAAGATTGATGCTAGCTTCAGATTCAGCCTCACTGAAAGTGGTGAGGCATGCATAATTTATTGAATTTTGTCCCCACTAAATTCTCCCCGTTCATCAATGAGGTAGGGAGATCCCCTTCCTGGCAATGAACATCAGAGGTAATCTTTTATTGCTTGATCTTTTTCCTGGGGTTCTAAATTCTAAGTCTCAGTCATTCAAGTGAGAAGGTGCCTTTTGCAAATGCTTTATTTATATATTGACTGGCTTTAGTGTATATTTCGACTGCTTCGTCTGGGCTGAAATACTCTTGCCCTGTATGCCTCGCCAGCAGCTCAATCTGCAGTGGATTAGCAACCGGTTAAAGAAGAAGCAAACATACCATACCAGGTCCTTTTTCAAGTTCCGGACTTCTTTCCGTGATGTCGATATCAGTTGCTTGACCACGAAATTGACCTATAGGCTGCGATGCAAAAACTGAAAAAGTCAATAAAACTTGAAGAGAAAAAACAAAAACAGAAGCTACCTCTTTGAGCATGATGGTGGTTGAAGGAAGTGCAGATTGCCTACTGCTCCAGCGGCCAAAAGCAAAGCTGCTTCCCCCCACGCATTTCCAACACACAAGGTGAAGATAGGCGGTTTCACATATCTGCAAGATTCATCCACAGCTCCTTCGTTTCTTCGCAAAATAATACACGAAGCTGATTACTTACTGCATCGTGTCGTACATAGCCAAAGCTTCCGTTTCGTAACCAAGCTTCTCACCGTCCTGCATTGGGAATGTGTGAGTTGAAGAGCAGCAGAAAGAGAGTAAGTTATACCTTGGTAGTACCTGTGGAATTGATATACATGTAGATTGGCTTCTCAGCATCCACAAACTGCAGATACAGAAGCTCCGCCATGATCAATTCTGTAACAGCCGGGACCAAAGACATCCCCAGGAAAAAAATCCTGTTGTGAAACAGATAGGATGGAAGATCAGGTGGCGGCTGTGTCGATGCATCACCTCTCACGAAAGGAATAACCTGCAACCAGAAGAAAAAAAAACATTAGTCCAGAAATTTTTCATATACCGATTACCGACCATGGTCACAATTCCTTTGTGCTGCTTTCCGCTTGGGTTCATCGAATGAAGGGCTGAAGGCAGGCCTTGCCCGGCAAGCGAGCAATACTTACTTCCTCCAACGAACGGCTGAAGCAGTTCACTGCTAAGTTGAACACTCTTACCACTAGTACTGCTTGTGCCTGCGCAAGCGTTAGCCGCCATTGCCTCATTCTTCCGTCCACAGAAACAACGGGCGAAAAAAGCGTTCAGGCCCGCCATAGAAGAAATTCACGCATAAAACCCTCCTCTTTCCACAAAGTTAACTCCTAAACACTGTCTCACTCGTCTAAAAATCAACCCAAACTCACCAGAAAATTGGGAACAATGATCGATCACTTCTTCTTTCCGTGACTGTTCATTTCGTCCATGAGTCCTTGGCTCAGCTCCTCCAGGGTGTAGTTCTTCCCAAAAAACTTGACAAACTGCCACGTCGGGTCCATCAAATACCTGCGGCCAAGCAGAAGAAGGAATAAAACAACCAGCTCGAATGACAACTTTTGCTCACATGATGATGGAATGATCGACGAGGTAGTCGTCGCCTTCGTCGCCAGTTTTCATGTAGTAGACGCGAAATGATTTTGCGAGCTGCTTTATGTCGTCGGGGGAACCGGTTAGTCCCATGAGTCTGGGATGAAATTCTGCAACAAATATAGTCAGCTAGCTCATAAGCAACACGGAAAAATCATACCTGTTACGTACTCCTTCATTTGCTCAATGGTGTCACGCTCCGGATCCACAGACACAAACACTGGAGCGATCTTCACACCAGACTTCTTCTCTAAATCCAAACCAGCGAATTTACGCAAAAGAAGATGAGGAAGGAGTACATACCAACATTGTCGATGGCCTGCACCATCCCGACCTTGTTCTTTAACTTGATCCGCAGTCGTTTCCTGAGCTGGTTTAGGCTCCGGATTCAGAGATTGTGCAGCAGCGACACTTTGCCCGGTCGACATCATTCTCTAAAAGCATCTCCAATCAAGAAAAATCTAGGGAAATCTTGCAAACCTGGAAAAGAGAAGCATTCTGGATCGGCCTGCGGCAGCGCTCCACCAGATGATTCGCATTTACCGTCCCGTACAGGCGAGTCTGCAGGCGCTTGAGAATGCTTGAGCTAGGGTTTTGCTTGAGCTAGGGTTTTCTGGATGGGGAAGAAATCCAAGAGGAGGCCGGCGTCCAAGACTACTACTTTAGCTGCCATGGTGAGTGTTGATTTTCTTTTGATTTTTGTAATCAATTAGCTGAGAGTGTGTAGGCTGGTGCTAGTGCTTTTCTCCCGAGATGCCAGCTCATGAGTTTGTAGACTGAGGCAGCTTTCACTAGAGCTTATGCTAGCTAGCAGTAAATTGATTACAGAAAATAAAAAAAAACTCAGAATTTACCATGGCGGCTAGAGTGGTGGAGTGCGTTAACATCTTGGATGAAGTGCTTGCGAAAGCGCTAGCACTAGTTTGCAAACTCTCCGTAGTAAATTAATTTCAGAAATCAAAGGAAAAAAAACACTCACCATGGTGGCTAAAGCGGCGGAATGGCTAAATGAGCTAGTAACTTTCACTAGCGAGTCATTTGAGACCACTTTAACTGCCATGGTGAGTGTTTATTTTCCTTTGATTTTTGTAATTGGTTTGTTGCAGAGAGTTTACAGATTGGTGTTAGTGCTTCCACAAGCGCTTCATCCAGGATGCCGACGCACTTTACCACTCCAGCCGGCATGGTGAGTGTTTCTTTTCCTTTAATTTTCTATAATCGATTTGTTGTTGAAAGTTTGCAGACTGGTGCTTCTGCTGCTTCATCCGAGACGCTGGTTATGGTGAAGATCGAATACATTGAGGCTACCTTCACAATTGGAGTCAAGTATGTGTATTTCTGGCTAACTTCTCTTAAATTTTAAAGTGAATTTGCGCAGCTGCTATCAGGAGGAGGATTTAATGAGCAGTTTATTACCTGCTGCAAAGTTTGCCCTAGCACATGGTAAGAAGATACTCAGTGTGGAGATGAAAGCAGTTCTTTGTGGGCTGCTCGTGAAAGAGAATGGTGTACCTTACACTCTTGCAGAATGGGCGGATCAGTTCTTTGTGGGACTTCTGGTCAAAGACAAAGACACAAGTTTGCTTGCTGAGCTGAACAGGGAGAGGAAATTCAAGGAAGAGTTGCTACAGAAAGGTATTATTGAGCTGACTGGTCATGAGAAGTCTGGAAAGGAGGGTTCGGGGACAAAGCAGCCCAACGCAAGTCATGAGAATCCTAGGACCATGACAGAGCTTCTAAATGTGATGAGGGGTGAGATGGACGTGGTGAAGACTCGTCTAGCTGAGACAGAGGCTAAGCTAAGCACTCAGGAGGCTGAGATCCAAGTTTTGCGATCTGTTATGACCCCGATCGAAGGCATCTATGTCCGCAAGCTTCTAGAACAGTTCAGGAGGAAAGTTGCAGCACTAGTATCGGACCAGTTGCCTGTTAGATTTCAAGAGGTAGGTATTTTGACGTGCCGGAGCTAGCCTAGTGGACAAAATTCATTGGTAACAGGCCGGCAATCGCCATCTTCAATGAGAAGAGTAATATGGATTTCGACGAAGCAACCATGAAGATGACGGATTACAAGAGAGGGACGTTGCGGCGTGCGGGTTTGTTAATTCCTTTTTTAGTTTATTTAGGCTTATTATTGTTTGTTTAGGTGGATTGGCAGCTCACGAAATTACAGAGGGCAAAGAATTCTATGCTGCCATCATCTGTGCATATAAGAAAGGTCAAAGAGAAAAGATGAAGAAGGTGTACACTTTTGTCTTCGGGAGTGACCTAGAGTCGGATGCATTTGTAAGTATTTTCATTGTTTATTTACTAAATTTAGTAACATTTTTTTCCAGGACGTGTTTTTTAAAAACCCTAAACCCTACACCCTAAATGCAATAAAATATCCTCGGCTTCATAATTTCTTCCTAGCTCTCATGCTCTAGATATGTGAAATAAGTTGTCTCCAAGGAATAATTCTGAATTTCTAATAACTAGAGATTTATCTAGCATTAAATACATGCTAAAAGCATAACAAACTTAACACAAGCAATAGGGAGATTCTTCAAAACTATCAGTTGGAATTGGAGAAGATGCTTGCATCAACGTTCTCTCGTCAACCTTGAGTTCTACAAAAAGCCGATTTTCAATGTGGGAAATGCATGGGTGCCCTAGAATCTTGCACTTGGAAGTCTAGCTTCATTCAGTTGGCTAACAGGACAAGCAAATGGGCGATAACGGGCCTAGCAACAGGATTTCTCCTCTATCGCCAAAACGATCCAGCCTCGATGTGGGCGATCACCGGCGCGCTCGCCAATGGCGCCACCTCCAAGCTCCTCAAGCAATGCATCAACCAGCAGCGGCCCATCGCCGCTGCAAACCACGCGAGACTCGATCCGGGAATGCCCTCCTCTCACGCGCAGTCTCTCGCCTACCTCTCCACGTACGCAACAATCGAGATCGCCGGATGGAGTGGTGTCAATCCAGTGCTCTCTCTGGCGCTCAGAGCGATTGTTCTTAGCACTGCCGCCTATCTCGCTCATCTTAGAATCTCCATGGGTTTCCACACCTCCGCGCAGGTCGCGGTTGGATCGGTGATCGGGAGCTCCAGCGCTGTGATTTGGAACTGGATCTGGAAGGCGATCGTGGAGCAGCACGCGGTGAATCTGCCGTGGATGTCAAAGGCGGGATGGATGGCGTTGTTCGTCGCGGGAAGCTTAGCTCTGGCGCGAGAATCTAAATGAGAGCCAATTAAGCCAAACCATGAAAGATTCCTTCGTCTTTGCCAAAATATCCTCTCTTGTTTTTCTTTCTACCTAGGGAATGATTCGCCAATGGATGAGACGCGCGTCGCGGCTCCAATCCGCTGCCCAGGGATTCCTCCGCGCGGGCCCTGGTTCTTGGAGCTCTAGACGCGCGGCTCTGAGCGGCGCCGCTGGAAATCTCGCGAGAGGGGTAAGATTTTAGAGATCCAGGCAACGCGCGCGCGCTTGTTTCTTCGATCGGTCGATCTTGAGAGAAATCCGTGATTTTCCAGCGTTTCAGGCGTCGGAGATCTCGTTCGCAAGGATTAAGCTCTCGTCGCGGGTGAGGATCGGCACCATCGGCAAAGAAATGGTAATATCCGTTCGAGAGAGAGCATCTTTCGACTAGATCCCTTCTAGATCCTTTCGATAAAGTAGGTCATTGGGAAGAACAGGTGTAAAGGTTTTAGCGAGAGATAGAGAGCACGGCTATGGCAAACATTGACATTGATGGGATCTTACAGAGCGGCGGGGGTGCCAAGCCGGAGATCGCCAAGACGAAGATCGTGTGCACGCTGGGGCCCAAATCCAGGGAAGTCCCGATACTGGAGAAGCTCCTCCGCGCCGGGATGAGCGTTGCCAGGTTTAATTTCTCTCACGGCTCTCACGATTATCACCAGCAGACGCTGGAAAATCTCCGGATCGCAATGAACAACACCCAGATTATGTGTGCTGTGCTGCTCGACACTAAGGTTTGTTTATCCTCTATAAACTTTTGTTTGATCGATTTGAGCTTTTGTTTGATCGATCCAGGGGCCAGAAATTCGTACTGGGATGCTAAAGGATGGAAAGCCCGTGCAGCTGGTGGAAGGAAAGGAGATTACTATCTCCACGGACTATAGCATTCTAGGCGATGCTAACACTATTTCTATGAGCTATAAGCGGCTTGCCGAAGACTTGGAACCGGGTAACACTATCCTTTGCTCCGACGGAACGATCACTTTGACTGTTCTTTCGTGCGACAAAGAGACCGCCTCGGTCAGGTGTCGGTGCGAAAACACGGCGATGCTCGGGGAAAGAAAAAATGTCAACTTGCCAGGGATTATCGTTGACCTGCCTACTATCACAAAGAAAGACGAGGAAGATATAATGGGCTGGGGGCTGCCTAACGCGATCGACTTCATCGCACTTTCTTTTGTGCGGAAGGGTCAAGACGTCGTCACTGTGAAGAAGCTTCTTGGTTCTCATTCGAAGGCGATCCATATCATATCTAAGGTAACGTAAAAGAATAGTTTTTTTTTCCTGTTTTCTAAAGGCTTGGCTGTGCCTCAGGTTGAAAACCAGGAAGGACTCGTGAACTTCGATGATATTCTACGCGAGTCCGATGGTGTGATGGTTGCCAGGGGTGATCTTGGAATGGAGATCCCCACGGAAAAGATCTTTTTGGCCCAGAAGATGATGATATACAAGTGCAATGCGGCTGGGAAACCGGTAGTGACGGCTACGCAGATGCTCGAGTCCATGATCAAGTCCCCAAGGCCGACTCGGGCGGAAGCCACAGACGTAGCAAACGCTGTTTTGGATGGCAGCGACGCGGTGATGCTCAGTGGCGAGACAGCAGCAGGGGCATATCCAGAGATGGCTGTGAAGATCATGTCACGGATTTGTATCGAGGCGGAGGCCTCCCTCGACTACGCTACCATCTTCAAGGAGCTCATGAAGCAGACTGCTCTCCCGATGAGTCCCTTGGAGAGCCTGGCATCTTCGGCAGTTCGGACGGCAAACAAGATTGGAGCGTCCTTGATCGTGGTGCTTACCCGGGGAGGAAGCACCGCAAAGCTCGTTGCGAAGTACAGGCCCAAGGTTCCCATACTCTCGGTTGCGGTGCCGGTGCTTACGACCGACTCATTGACGTGGTCGTGTAGCGAGGAGTCGCCCGCTCGGCACAGCTTGGTTTGCAGAGGCTTGATTCCTTTGCTGGCTGAAGGCTCCGCAAAGGCTACGGACTCGGAGTCCACGGACGACATCCTCAACGCTGCTCTTCGCTACGCTCTAGGCAGGAATCTGTGCCACAGTGGTGAGTCCATTGTGGCTATCCACCGCATTGGAGCTGCGTCGGTTATTAAGATCATGGAAGTGAAGGCGTCTCGCTAGATGAGGTACTCCGGTTTTGTGTTCTCGTGGCCTAACTTAATTCTTATTGACATAGAATAAAGCCGTTCTTTCGGCTGGCAACGAACACTCCCATTTTTAATAATACGATTTTGTTTTTTCTTTTTTATTTGCTTCTTTCCTTTCGACACTTGTTTTCTACCAATTTTTTTTTGCAGGTGCTGCGATGGTGGCACTATATTGGTAAGAAAATCACTTTCTTTTTTTTGCGATTCATTTGCAAACAACTGAAGAAAGAAGTTTCTTTGTTTACATGACTGATCGCGGGATGATGATGTTGGCAATGTTGTTGTGCCATGGATCGGCAAGGTGAGTGGCCAAGTTCTGCAAGGGACCTGTTCCTGGATAGGCTGCTGCTTGGGCGCAGAATCCCAAGAAAGCGAGCAGTGCAAGACGACCTGCAAGCAAGCAAGCAAAAATGGTATGATGTTCACTGCCAACTTTGAGAAAATGCTCACCGTTTTTCACTTCCTTCAGCTTGAACTCCTCGAACTTCTTCGGGTCCTTGGAGAATCCAAGAGGGTCGAATGCGCCGCCGGGATACTTGCGTTTCTCAGCGCTCGGCACGCCGATCCTCCGCGACTCGACAAAGGCTATGGCAACAAACTCGATCGCAACGATCACTGGAAGGGTCCCCCACGGGACTGGAGTTCCAAGGTACGTGGCTTGTCCGCCAGGAGTCGCGGCCCACTGTTGTGCCTCAACCCAGTTTCCTAGTCCTAGAGCTTCCGGAATGAGGCATCCAGGCTGAAAGCAGCGCACAAAGCTTGAGGATCCACACAAAATCTACGAGAAAAAAGTTTCCCAGGTACTTACGACTGCCAGCATTGCCCATCTGCAGTGGATGAGCTCTGACTCCTTGAATCGTTCCAGGTTGTCGGGAACTTCTCCAAGTCCCAGTGGATCGAATCCAAAGTCGCTGGAAGGACAAAGCGCTCTCACTTGAAAGCTACGAGAAACTAGATCTCTTGGAAGTTTAAACTCACCCAGGGGCTGATCCGTCTAGGTAGGCTGGACGAGGCTGTCCTGGGAGCCACTCTGCGGACATGCTGACCCTGCTTCCATTGGAGAATGCAGCACCGGGAGTGGTGATGGCGCTTCCGAAAAACTTGGACTTTTGAGTTCCAGCTAGAGTTGGAGCCACAGCCGCTGCTACAAGCTGCGAACACGCCATAGCAGTCGCCATTGCCCGACGTAAGATCTAAACTCCCAAGTGCTCCCTCTCACTCACTCGCCGGGATTGGAGTTTCTGGAAGAGAGAAGATCGCCGCGAGGTTCCAGATTTTAGTTCTCGTGTCCGGCCCCTGTGTGGTGTTCCTTGACGGACTTCAAGGCCAGCCTCCAATCTGGTTTAATGTCGATATTGGATAGAGCGCATTGTTTTCTCATTGGCTCTCTCGCTCTCCGTTGGATATGCCACCTATTCTGGGAATCGAACCTGCCACCTTCACATAACTGAATTTATAAATGTGTAACATATAATCAAAGGAAAGAACAAGACATGATTTAAGTGATAATTTATAAAGTTTATTATGACTTTAAATAGTATGTTATATATATTTTCTGACCTTTTGTCTCTAACCACCGAAATTCATTTACCTGAAAAAGGAAATAATAAGCTTTTAAAACTTTTTAAAACCTACTAAAATGCAATATCTTGTATAGATAAAATATATGGTACTTCATAAAGTTTTTAAGAACTTTTACTATCAATCATACAAATTATATAAAATTAACTTACCGTCAAGAAAACTAAAATTAATTCATGTAATTGATATGTGTAAGATGTCATATTGAGGTTCAAAAGGTAGTTGTTTACTGAAAAATGTTTTTTTTTGTCTACTTTATAATTGAACTTGGGCAATAAAGGATTTATCATATCATTATACTTAACAATCTTACTTACTATATTTTTCTGTAAATAAATATAGAAATTTAAATTTTTTTATGTTTATTTTGTGCATATAAATTCTAAGTTGGATATAATAGAAAAATAAAAGATTAATTCTTGTTAAGCTTATTTCTTAATTAGTACTATACATAAAGATGATGTTAGTGCGATATGTTTTAGGTCACTCTAACACTTTGACAAGGAAGTATGGTAAAGCTAGGCTGATTCTTCTAAACATTAGAGCTGCTGCACAGCAACCCAAGAGGCACACAAATGAAGTGCAAGAAATAAACAAGTAATGGGACGCCAAAAAAGATAAATTCCATAGATAAGCACATAGAAACATTTTTAGGGTTAAAGGTTTGAGCTATAATAGAGCACAAACTCGCCCCTAATCAAAATCCTTGGTGCTTTGATTGGGTCTTATAAGGCTTATCTGTACTTCTTCTTTTTTTTTGGCTAGATCTTTACTGGTCTTTGTGATTGATTATATTTATTTATTATAAATATCTATATTATAAATTTAAACATAATTTGTATTAGTGATAACAATTTACAAACTTTGAATTAAAGAAAATTCTAAAATATAGTTCCTAAATGTTTTAGGTATACGTTTTACACCTTTAGATCGCTCGAAATCTAAACATGGTTTGTATTAATGATAACAATTTACAAAGGAAGTTTAAGAGAAGCCGAATCAAAGAAATATCTAAAATATAATTTAGGAATATATTTTTTACACCTTAGCACACTATTTCTGAGTATTAGTGTAAAGCACCCCAGAGGGTTAAAGTGGGCATGGAAACGTGTCGCGTATGCGTGAAACCAGAATCAGCGGCACTCGGCGATCAACGTCTTTCTCCTGCGCTCGCCTGGTGGGTCGACTCGAGCCGGTCGATCCCCAATCGGCAGCTGGGTCTTTTCCAAGGTATTGTTCCTTGTCTCCATAGCTAGAAGCCCTCGTTCCCAGTTCCTCAAA